AGGATCGAACATTGTTTCGTTCTGCTGTGCATGGGGTCGCTATGAGTCGGTTCCGACTTGATGGCACCTGACAACAACAACAACAACAATAACCCCCTGCTGGGAAAAACAAAACAAAACTATATTGCAAGGTTAAATCAGAATTTTTTGTTCATCTTATTTTGCTTTAAAACCTATGGTCTCTTTGATGAACTTGACCTTTAGTTATGGATGTAGTAGCTCAAAATACCAACTGAGAGGGAATAAGTCTTCACTTCAAGACTCAATCCTATCTCTCTGTGATAAGGATGAGCAATGTAGACATTGACTACCTAAAATGGGGGTAGGGATGGGGACCATAAAGGCACAAAGTTACTTGCTTACAAGTTTTCAAGAGGGAGTTTAGTTTCAGAGTGTGGGGGGGAAGTTAGAATCCCCATTGAATAGTTTTCATCTTGTCTAGAAGGGTCTGGTGAAAGGAGATGAAGATAGGATTCTTATGATTCAATAGTGAGTAATTGTTATCATTACTATTGTGATTCTCACAACTTTAAAAGCAGAAGTTTGTAACAAAAAGGGGAGATTAGTTAATCTTACATTCCAGGAACAGAGGACCCTAGGACCATCAAGGGAGAAGAACATGAGCAGAATGTGGGACCCTATGCAGAGAAGCGGCGACACCAGAGATGGAGGCAGAGATGAGGACATGGAGAGATAGAGTAGCTCAGGACTCTAGACTCATGGAAAGAGAAAGGCTGTGTGCTGGTGGCCAGGTGGCAGACTTGTAGAATGTGCCCTTTAGTTGTTTAAATGATTATATATTCCTGAGTGTTTTTGTGTACATCCCCTGATGAAAACAAAACAAAAAAACCAGAAGGAATAGAAGTAAGTACTGTTGAATGATGATGCACGGAGGAGATTGTAATCATTGCAATAAAACGATGAGCATAAAACCAATGTTCTCCCATGTAAACTAATCACTTAATTCACAATAATTTTTAAAATTTCCATGAAAAAGTAAAATAGTGGTCTAAAATTTTCAATTTTGAGGAAAATTGTAAATCCATAAATCCAGGAGTATCAAGAAATGCCTAGCAAAATAAACTTGAGGAAAACTATATACATCATAATCAAATGATTTCCAACAAGTGTTAAAGAGAAAATATTAAAATCACCATTTTACATATAAATTCACGTATGCACACACACATACAGGGTAAAACAGATAAAAATGGTGGTAGATTTCTCATTAAAAACTGCCAAAAAAGCACGATGGAGCAATATCTTTAAATAACTAAAGGAAAAGAAAAAAACAACAACTAGAACTCTATGTTGTTATTGTTGATAAGTGTCACCAAGTCACTTCTGTCTTATAACAACCCTGTATAGGTTTTCCAAGGAGCGACCTTGAGATTGAGTGCTTATCTTATGGCACCACATGAAAATATTTCAAAATTAAACAAGACATTTTTAGACATAGTAAGTAAGCCTGTATGTAGCAGAGTGGCTCTGTAGGATAAATATTGGACTGTGAACCACAAAGTCGATGATATGAGCCCACCAATGGCTTTCTGCTCTGGTAAAGATTTACTGCATCAGAAACCCCATTCAGTGTCACTATGAGTCAGAACCAATCTACTACATTTAAGCATGTATGCGGGTGTGACAATAAGGTGAAACATAACAACAATTTTGTGCATGCCACAGTTCTGGGCTGAAACATAACAATAATTGTGTGCATGCCACAGTTCTGAGCCGTGTTTTATTCTCTTGTAGATAGGGTGACTGTGAGTTGGCGCTAACTCAAAGGCACCTAACAACAACAAGCAAACTCACACAAAAGGAACCATTTGAAGAAATCCTCTGTAAAATAAATAAAAGAAATCCTTTGCATCTGGAAAATGCTACCAGATGGAGATATGTATGTTTATAAAGAAATAAAGACAACTGTAAATGGTTACTACATTATTAAATATATAATGATATTTTCCCATTTTAAAATGTATTTAAAGGTATTGAAAAATTCAAGACTTTAATTGTAATATTGAAGAGATCTGTGAGAAAAAAATCTTGCTTGCTGAAAGTAGACTCCTGGTATGGCACGGTAGGATGAGCACTGGACTGTGAACCACAATGTCAGCAGTTCAAACCCACCAGCTGCTCCTTGGAAACCCTACACAGATTCGTTGTGTCGGAATTGATTCAATGGCACTTAACAACAACAACAATTAGGAAAATACTGAAAGACACAGAAAACATCAATAGAAGATGGAAGAAACACACAACCACAGTTCCATAAAAAGTTGGTCAAGGTTCACCATTAAGGAGACAGCATATGATCAAGAACCCAAAATATTGAAGGAAAAAGTTTAAACTGTGCTAAGTGTATTGGCAGAAAGAAAAAAAAAAAAGAATAAGAAGTTGGCAGAATATCAATTGAAATGTTTAAACAAACTAATGCCTCCTGGGAAATGCACACTCATGAATGCCAAGAAATTTGAAAGATAGCTGCTTGGCCAACTAACTTGAAGAGATTCGTATTCATGGACATTCCAAAGAAATATGATCCAACAGAATGAAGAAATTGTCGAATAATGCCATTCATATCACAAACAAGTAAAAATCTTACTGAAGATAATTACAACTGTGTTGCAATACACTGACAGAAGACTGCCAGAAATTCCAGGTGGATTCAGAAGAGGAGATGGAGCTGGACTATCATTACTGAAATTACCTGAAAACAGAAAACACAAGAAAAATATGTACCTGTGTTTCATTTACTATATTAAAGCATTTGACTGTGTGGATCATAACATTGCTAAGAATAGGACTTCCAGAACATTTAAATTCATTCATGTACAACCTGTACACAGACCAAGAGGCAGTCATTAAAACAGAACACGGGATAGTGCATGGTACAGTGTCAGGGCTGTTTCCTTTCACCATACTTATTCAATCGGTATGGTGAGCAAATAATCTGGGAAGCTGGACTGTATGAAGTAAAACAAGGAATTAGGATCTGAGGAAGACTTATTAATACCCTGATATACTGATAACATAACCTTATTTGCTAAAAGTGAAGTAAGTGCTTACGTACTTACTGATGAAAATCAAAAACTTTAACCTTAAGTTTGAATTACCCCTCAAAATTAAGAAAACAAACACACCCATAATTGGACCAATAAGAAACGTCATAAAAAATAGAGAAGGATTGAAGTTGTCAATGATTTCATTTTTCTTGGATCCACAATCATTGCTCATAGAAGCTGAAGTAAGGAAATCAAATGGCATATTGCATTGGACAAATCTGTTGCAAAAGATTCATTTAAAATGTTAAAAAAACAAAGATATCACTTTAAAGATTAAGATGAGCCTAAACCCACATCATGGTATTTTCAACTACCTCATATGCATGTGAAAGTGAATTATGAATTAAGAAGATGGAAGAAGAATTGATGCATTTGAATAATAGTGTTAACAAAGAATATTAAATATTGCAGGGACTATCAGAAGAATGAGGAGCACAGTGGTTCCATAAAATAAGTACTTGAGTGTGAACCACAAGGCCCCTGATTCCAGCCCTCCAGCCACTCCACAAGATAAAGATGAGGCTTCTTGCATCCTCAAAAAATTTTAAAAGCCTTAGAAACACTATACAGAGTCACTCTGAGTCAGAACCAACTCGATGGCACTTAAAAACATCAGAAGATTGAATAAATCTGTCTTGGAAGAAGTACATTTAAAATGCTTCATGGAAGTGAGGATGGTAAGACTTTGACCAATGTACTTTAGACATGTTATTAGGAAGGACCAGCCCATGGAGAAGGACATCTTGCTTGGTAAAGTAGAAGATCAGCAAAAATGAGGAATGCCCTCAATAAGATGGATTGACACAGTGGTTGCAGAAATGGGCCCAAGCATAGCAACAATCTTGAGAATGGCAAGGACCAGGCAGTGTTTAGTTCTATTGTATATAGGGTTGCCATGAGTTGAAACACACCCAACAGCACCTCACAACAACAAGTATTTGAAGGAAACAATGACACATTTAGCGTGAGTTTTATAATATATATACAAGTAAACCATATGATAGAAATACCACAAAGGCCAGGAGTAGTAACAAGGAATACCACTGTAAATATCTTATGCTACAGGTAAAACAGTGTAATATACCATTTAGACATAGTGTAATAGGTTAAAGTTATAAATTATAAACCTAAAGCAGCTCCCAAAAGAATAAAACAGAGTAATTAGCTGAAAATCCCACAAAGGAGATAAAATGTGTCATTAAAAAAATTCCAGGTAATATCAAGTGTTGGTGCCCAAAGAACCTTGTCTATTTGCCATACTTAATAGTTGCCATACAACATTCCCTTGTTTGGTTTTATTTACTTATGAAAGTATTGTTCTCTCTCTTGTAGACTATGAAACAAGCACATACCCAATTTGTTTTATTTTTATCAGTTTTATTGACATATATTTCATATACCATACAATTCAATACTTTTAATATATTTATGAGTTTTGAAGTCATCACACAATCATTTTTAGTACATTTTTATAACTCCAAAGCAAAAAGAAATCTAACATCCATTATCTTTCGTTTTCTTTCTTCCCATCATAGTCCCCCACCATAACCCAAAGAAACCAATAATCTAGCTACTATCTCTATAGATTTGCCTATTCTGGATTTTATATAAAGGAAATGATAAACAAATATTAAAAACCTCAATCCAAAAGATACCAGAGAATAAGAAAAACAGGAATAAATAAAATATGGATCAAAGAGAAAACAAATGACAAGGTATTAAATTTAAACCTAGCTATATATCTGGTGTGGCGCTGTTGGATAAGCACTGGACTGTTAACTTCAAGATTGGTGGTTCAAACTCACCAGTCATTCCTTGGAAACCCTATACGTGGTCACTATGAGTCAGAACCAACTTGATGGCACTTAACAACAGCATTCTACAATCACATTAATTTGCAAAGTTCTGAAGTGACTTTTTTGTTGGGAGGGGGACAATATTTGCTAAAGTCCTCACTCTGTCACTCCAAAAGAATTTGGTGCTCTGTTGTTGTTGTTGTTGTTGTTAAGTGCTGTCGAGTCAATTCAGAACCATAGGGACACTGTATGGGGCTTCCGAGGAGCAACTGGTAAGCTTGAACCACCGACCTTTCAGTTCACATGGCTTTGCAGTCTGGTGCACTAACCCATATATAGTTTTTATAGTTTTTTGATAGACTAACTCTTCTACTATTAAAAACAAAAACAAAAACAAAAAACAACACCTCCCTTTATCGTTAGTAACATATAGTTTGCTTCTAAATTAATTCTGTCTACTATTGTTATAGCCACTTCACCTCTCATACTTGGTGCCATCCTTTTGCCCTCAATGCATTTGCTTCTTTGAATTAAAGTGTGTTTTCTGGGCACAGGTTATAGTTGTATCTTGTGGTTGTTGTCTTTTAATTCAGTCTGACAATCTTTACCTTTTTATTGGGTTATTTAATCTATTTCTATTTAATGTTATTATTGATATTGTTTGAACTGACATGTCATTTTTTTCCTCTGATAGCTATATATTCTGCACCTTCTTTTTCTTATTCCTTCTTTGCTGTCTTCTTTCCCATTAAGTGAATAAAAGACAAGAGAACAAGGATATATATACAAACTTTGATTCATGATCTTTACAATTCTGGTTCACTTCATTTTTTTCTGTGAACTTGTGATGTCATTACCTTACAACATTACCGATTTTCCCCACTTATCTCCTTTGTGTGATTATTTCTGAGTATATCATAATTCTGTATGACAGTGTGATAGTTTGATTTTAACTTCTTTGATTATAGATTAGTGATGTTGACAATCTATTAGCACATATTGTTTTATTTTATTTATTTAATCTTATTTTATAATTCAAAATTAATTTGGTACCAAATTCTTTGAGAAGTTCTATACAAATATTAAACTATGCCATCATCATTAGAAATCTATATAATAGGTGGTTCTGCTTGATCTGTCAAGTCCTAAAAAAGCCATAATAAAATCTACATCTATGTTTTTGAATTTGTATATATTCCTTTAAATGTTTCCCTTATAGACTTAAGATTACATATGGAGTCCTGGTGTGGCACTGTAGGATGAGCACTTGATGGCAAGGTCAATTTGAACCACAAATTCAGCTGTTCAAACTCACCAGCCACTCCTCGGAAACCCTGTACAGAAACTAATTCAACAGCACTTAACAATAATAACATGAACAATTTTAGATTTTTTTTAATATCTTGGTGACTGATTACATCTCTATTTTGTGAATAATCATTTATGTCTAATCACTGTTTGCTTTCATACATTTTATTAATATTAATATATGTTTTCCCACATTTTTGCTAGAATTGACATTGTTTAATTTTTGTGTTCCAATTTCTGTCTTCCACATTGTTAGCTGTTTTACAAACATCATAGACTTACTGAATTTAAAAGTATTTCCTTTAAATGACATGTTTAATACATACATTGACTGGATACATTTAATGGAGCTAGACAGATTGTGATTTATTTCTATTTTCTGAGAATTACTTTTATTTTACTTAAATTTTATTAGTTTTATTTCAGTTAGTCCACTAACTAGCTTTCTAGCTTTTGATTTTTTTAATGCAATAGTTAATCACTATACAACCAAAACATTAGTGGTTCAAACACACCCAGCATCTTCTTAGGAGAAAGACTGAATGATTTGTTTCTACAAAGATTACAACCAAGAAAATCCTATAGAGCTATTCTATTCTGTAACACATGGGATGTTATGAATCAAAATTGACTTAACATCACCCAATATATTTCTGCTCCAGTAAAGATTTACAGCCTTGGAAACCCTGTACAGGGTCACTATGAGTTGGAACCGACTCCATGGCACATAATCACCAATATAATATAAACGTGTTAGTTTATATTAGAGCTATAAGTAAATTTGAATATCTGAATATATTTTGTTTGCCCTGTATGTGACGATTATTTGGCTATGCATAACCACACAAAGGTGTGGTGCTGTGAGTTTAATGCACTGGATTGCAAGGTCAGTTTGAACTGTATGGTCAGCAGTTCAAGCTTACTAGTGCCTCCTCAGAAACCCTATACAAGATTGCTATGAGTCAGAACCAACTCAATGGCACTTAAAAACAACAAATAAGCACAATAATTTTCTTCTGAGTTCATATTTTAATTATTTATTCCACAGGAGTCTCCTTAAATTTCAAGATGAGAAGTTTGATGTGTGTCAAGTTCGTCATCGTTGTAGGAAACCTATCAATGAAAGAAAATTACACCGTTTTAAAGATAAGTAGGTGAGAAGAGAACATGTTTAAGAACATTGATTTCCTCTAAAATTCCAAGGATAGTTTGGAGACAATCATCAAAACAGCTTTTATTTAAAACTCGATTAATGTGAATTATCCTGTTCCTTCCAAATCTCTGCTGCAAGAAGCATGCAATGAATAAAGCCAGCATTCTATAAAGAAGTCAAATTTCATTTGCATAATATCTATTTGAAACTGAGGGTAAGTGCATAGATTAAATTGTAAACATGGATACTTTCACTTCTCTGCTTTTTTTTTTTTATTATTAAAATTCAGCAACAAATTGAGAGCATTTCAATTTTTAGACATATCAGAATTTTGAAGTTATTCCAATATTGTCTATACTAGCTGCTCCTTTGAAGATTTAAAGCCTCAGAAATGCTACACATGGTCACTATGAGTCAGAACCGTAACAGCAATATCAACATGCTACAGGATCATTCTGAGTTGGAATCAACCTGTCAACATTAGGTTTGGTTTTGGTTTCTTTGTGTTGCATCCTTCAGAATGGATTATACTTCAACATAAAGAAAACAAAAATCCTCACAATGGGACCAATAGGCAACATCATGATAAACTGAGAAAACACTGAGGTTGCCAAGGACTTCATTTTATTTAGATCAACATTCAATTTCTAGGGAAGTAGCAGTCAAGAAATAAACTATGCACTGCACTGAGAAAATATGCTGCAAAAAAACTCCATTTTAAGAATAAAAACCAAAGATGTAACTTTGAGGGCTAAGGTGCACCTGACCCAAGCATGAGTATTTTCAGTCTCCTCACATGTATGCAAAACCTGGACCATGAGTAAGGAAGAGTGAAGAAGAATTGTTGCATTTGAATTACGGTGTTGGTGAAGAATATACTATGGACTGCCAGAAGAACAAAAAAGTCTGTTTTGGAAGAAGTACAGCCAGAATGCTCCTTATAAGTGAGGATGATGAGACTTAGTCTCATGTACTTTGGACAGATTATCAGGAGGGACCAGTGCCTGTAAAGGAACATCACGCTAGGTACATTAGAGTATTAGAAAAAAATAGGAAGTGCCTTATCAAGATGGACTGGCACAGTAGCTACAAAAATAGGCTTAAACATTGTAAAGATGGCACAAGTTCAGGCAGTGTTTCATTATTTTGTACATGAACTTGTTATATGTTGAAATCAATAACAAACATCATTATTAATTTCAGTTCGGTTAGCAATGATAAACAAATTACAGGAGCCTAAATAAATCCTATACAGAGTTACAATGAGCTGGAACTGATTCAAAGTCACTTAACAACAACAAATAAAGGTGATAAAATGAATTGGAGCTTTTCAGTTCTGAGTATTACACAATATCTAGTTCAAATTAATTAGTGTGTTATCCTGAACCTTTTTTTGTTTTTATGCACTTTTTGGAGAAACATAAACAGGGAAGTTGATAAAATTTTTTAATGACTAAAACAATCCCTTAATTGGTATCAGGAAAATACAGAGGAACAGCATCAAGTACTGTCTTTGTAGTCCCATGTAGCTGAAAACAAGGCTTGTTCTTGAGCTATCTTGTTTCCTTCACTGTAAGAGACCAAAACACTTCTCCTTGACTCTAATCCTGCTTTTTATTCTATAAAGACAACATGTAAATGTAACTTAAATAGAAAAACAAACAAATAAACCAAAAAAACAACAACAAACAACAAAAATTGACTACAGGCTTATTTCTACCTCTCCTTCTTCTTTGAAAATCTATGTAAATGTAAGAAACAGATATAGATGATAGTCCTAGAACCCCGAGATTCAGGTGAAAGGATAGAAAAGTAGATTGAATGCTTACTAGGCGAGAGAGTTGAACAGACACAACAAAAAAGGAGACAGACTAGTGACTGGGGCTGACTGACCAGACACAGCACAGTCATCTTAAGCTTTTGTGAGTGGTTCCAGAGACAAGATAACATATTGATATTGCAGAAACTGAAGGTACATGGTAGGCAGGAGACCCCAGAATTTTCTCCACTACTGGTGTGAGCATTTCCCCTGGTCTTTGCCTTTCATTGTTTTTGCTTATTCTTTCTTCCCTTCTCCCTCTCTTTACCTACCCTTGATTTTCATCCTTTCTATCTCTGCATTCATTTTTTTCTGGTTCTCTTTCCCAACCATTGCTACTGTATTTCTTTACTACTTTCTAAAATCTTTCCCTTTGACTCACCCCTTTCTCTAATCGTTTTTAGTCCTTTTTGTTTCTTTTAATTTTCTCTTGTATTTTTTGATTTTTGTTTATCTTTGTCAAAGTTTATTCTCCTCTCCCTCTTTTTGCTTTTTGTATTATTTTTCTAGCTATTACCTATTTTTTTCCTTCTTTATTTACTATGTTGTTGTTGTTAAGTGCCATCACATCGATTCTGACCCATAGCAACCCTGTATAGGGTTTCCAAGGAGCAGCTGATGAGCTATAACCTGTGACCTTGACGCTCAAACTGACTTGTGGTCTAGCGCATTAACCCACACTGCCATATTTTAATATATTCTTTCTTTGCCGTTGTTTGCCTGTTTGTTTGCTTGCTTATTTCCCTACTGTCTTGTGTGCCAGTTTTCTCTTCTTGCCTCACCTGACAGTGAAAAACAACTAAGCCCAGACAGCCCAGACACAACTGTACACTTACAGTCCTACCCATCAGAAAAAAGCCAATACTAATTGTTATATACCTGATCAACAACAACAAGCATCAGCCAATCCAATCCTAAACTGAGCTGCATGAATGGTTAACAGAGAATGGTGAACACACTTCCATCCCATAATTACATCCACCAGGAGGCAATTGGTGAGTACCCAAGAATGCACCAACATACAATCAACTTAATACAAACATGACACCACACTGTCTCAAAGCAACAGATCATTTCTGTTCATACACAGAAACAAAACAGTAGCTGAAACAAGTATCCAATAGGTAGAGCTAGAAAATGTTTATGAGGAAAAAAATATATTGGAACTACCTGAAAAAAAATCAAGAGAATGATATTGAGGTACCTCCAAATGATTGGTAGAAAGGTTGAGAAAAACGAGGAAAATTTCAAGAAAATATTACAGGAAAAACCAAACAAAATAAATAAAGGATTAGAGATACTAGAAAACTTGCAAATAGAAATCCAGAAGATTAATGCTAAGGTTTCAAATATGAACAATGCATTGAAAGGGCAAAGAAATAGATTCAACCCAATAGAGGCCTGAATTAGTGAGTTGGAAGATAAATCTCTCAATGAAAGTAAGCTAGAAAACTAATGAGGAAAGAGAATGAAAAAAATCCAAAGGAAGCCTAAGATTTATGTAGGACAACATGAACAGTGATAATTTATGGGTAGTAGGAATTTCAGAACAAGAAGAAACAAAGAAAAACACAGAAAAGATAGATGAAGCATTGTAAGAAGAAAACTTCCCTAACATCATGAAAGAGGAGTTGATAACCATTCAAGAAGCTGAATGAACTCCAAACAGGCTAGACCTCAAAAGAAAACCACCAAGACATATCATAATCAAACTATCCAAATTCAAAGAAAATAAAGAATCCTGAGAGAAGCTCAAGAATGTAAAGTTAAGTAACTGGAGGACTGATACGACTAAGCTCTGATTTTTCTAAAGAAACCATGCAAGCAAAAAGGCAATAGGAAGATGTATACAAAACTTTTAAAGAATGAAATTGCCAACTAAAAATAATATACCCAAAAAAACTGTCAGTCAAATATGACAGCAAAATTAGAACATTTCCAGATGAATAGAATTTCAAGGAATTTGTAATAACTGGACCAAAATTTTAAAAAAATGAAAATGAAAAGGAGACCTTTGGACTGAGAACCAACAATAGCAGAGAACAACATGAGATTAACATACATGGAAATACCACCCAGAAATTAACCCACATAAAGAACTATCCAAAGTAAAACAAACTAACCAGCAAAACAGAGTATAAGAAAGCACAGATATCAACTTATAATGAAGAATAATACAATACAAAAAGAGCAAAAGGTCTAGTTAGAGAACATCATAACGGTGAGGAAATCAAGCAAATTTCAAGATAAAATACACTGTTCTAAACAGGGGAAGAAATTAATAAATTACAGGTAAGCTCAAAAAATTTAATACACTTTCACAACAAATCAAGTTAAAGGAAAACCATGAAGAATTTAGTAAACATGGAAACAATAGCAATGAAGAAATTGACAGGAAAACACACAAACTAATTCATAACAGAAAATTATGTGGAAAACCAAAAATAGCTGCAACACACACACAAACACAAAAATGTAGCAGAATGACAGCAATCACTTCAAGCCTATCAATAATTAAACTGGATTAAATGCACCATTCAATAGACAGACAGTGGCAGAATAAATAAGAAAATAGGATCCTTCAACATGTTGTCTACAAAAAAACAAATCTTACACACAAAGACAAAAATCAAAAGATAGAAAAAATTGCATCAAACTAAAGGCAATTAAAAGCAAGGAGAAGAGGCAAAATAAGTTTCTGATAAAATAGACTTCAAGGCAAAGACGAGCATAAGAGACAAAGAAGGACAAGAGGACATAACCGTAATACATATACATTGATGATAAAGCCTTAAAATACATAAATCAAACTTTAATACAACTGACGAAAAAAATAGACAAATCTATAATATTAGTTGTTGTTATTAGGTGGCATTGAGTTGGTACTGACCCATAGCGACCTTATGCACAGCAGAGCAAAACACTGCCTGATCCTGGGCCAACCTCACTACTGTTGCCACACTTGAGTCCATTGATGTTGCCACTTGGCCAATCCATCTCGTTGGGGGTCTGATCCTCCACCTTGTTGTTGTTGTTGTTAAGTGCCAACTAGTCGGGTCCGACCCGTAGCGACCCTGTACAGGGTTTCCGAGGGTGTAAATCTTTACGGGAGTAGAAAGCCTCATCTTTCTCCCGCGGAGCAGCTGGTAGTTTTGAACCGCTGACCTTAAGGTTCGCAGCCCGATTCGTAACCACTACGCTACCAGAGCTCCTTACCAAACATGATATCATTCTCCAGTGACTAGTCCTTCCTGACAATATGCCTGAAGTATGAGAGATGAAGTTTGGCCACCTTGGCCTCCAAGGAGCACTCTGGCTGCCCTTCTTCCAAAACGAATCTACTGGCTCTTTTGGCAGCCCATGGCACTTTCAATATTCTCCTCCAACACCTTTTAACTCAAAAGCATCAATTCTTCTACTGTCTTCCTTATTCACTGTTCAGCTTTTGCATGCATATGAGGTTATTGAAAATACCATGACTTGATTCAGGTGAACCTCAGTCACAAGAATGATGCCCTCTCAGTTGCCATATTCCCATTCCACTTACCTCTCAATCTGAGGTAAACAGAAGAAATGAGCATGATGATGAAGATGATCAGCACACTCATGACCACAGTCATATCTTCCAACCACATAGTATCCAACTGGAAATGTGGATCAGAAATAGGGACTGGAGAGAGATGTACAAATTAGAAAGGGCACAGCAGGAAAAGACGGGCTGAACAACAAATTTATGATAGATTTAATTTTCAGGTGCCAAGGAGTCCTGTTGGTGCAACTAGCTGAAAGATTGACAGTTCAAATCCACCCAGTAACTCTGCAGGAGAAAAAAAACTGGTGATTTGTTTCTTTATAGATTTCAGTATAGACAACCATAGGGGGCTGTTCTACTCTGTAATAAGGGTCATTGCTACTCAAATGTCGACTTGATGACACACCAAACTCCATCCTTTCTGGACCTATGTGAATAATGCTTATGTGGATGATTCTGGAAAGGAGTATGATTTAATCTTAATAAACATGAATTTGGGTTTATTGACAACAAAGATAGTGAGGATGGGAAGTAGGGATGGAGATTCCTCAAATCTACGCTATTTAAAAGACAGTAGAAATAATTGGCAATATTCTTGAGAAAGAAGAGAAGACTCAGACGACACCATAATTGCTAACCTCAAAATCATGTAATGAAGATTAAGAAGTTTGCATATTCCATATGTTCTGAGCTTATATAAATAGAGGATGAGGGTCTCATCTTATTAATATCTATTTCATGCTCCATAGTTTGAGACAAATTTTCTGCTGTTGATTAGGTCAGCAATTCTTTTTATAAAATACTCTTTAAAAATATAGCAAAATTACTCTGGAGGAATGTGTTAAGGGAATAGGAAAATGAGATAACAAACATTCAGGAGAAATCCAAACTTGTTTTTAAACAAAATTAAAATTAAAAATTAAATTGTTTCAAAATGCTAAGAGGGTATGTGTGTGCATATTTTAATCTAAATTGATTTTTCAAAATTATTTTTCCTTCTTACATGACTAGAGTTATTCCATGCTTAGAAGGAAAGTTAAGGTGAAGGTGGTGTACAGGGGAAGGAACGCATGAAATGAACTGATGAGGAGAAAGATGGCTGTGGACACACATGAAGTCCAGCTTTTCCACGGGAAAAGAACTCCAGAAATAAATTCAGGCTGGAATTCTTAATAGCATTTATACTTATGATAATGATAATAATTGTTGTTATATGTAGTTGAGTCGGTTCCAAGCATAGCAATCCTATTATGTAGGGTTTCCAAGGAGCAGCTGGTGTATTTGAACTGCCAACCTTGTGGTTCACAGTCCACTGCTGATCCTACAGCACCACAGCATGAGTCCATTGATAATTATAGCAAACATTCATATTGTTTGTACAGCAAAAACTGCAAAAGTCCAAACCTGTATAAGATAAAACATGTCAGAGAAGGAAAAACTCAAATATTTTCTACTAAAAGGAGCTATGCTGTTCTTCTAAAGTGCTGCCAAGCTGGTTATGACTCATAGAAATCCTATAAAGGGTTTCTGAAGAACAGCTGGTGGGTTTGAACCACTGATCTTGTGATTAGCAGTCCAGTATTTACACTACAAACCTACACCAGTACTCGGAGAGAAGCTACAGAGAAATGGAAAGACTGCACTCTATCAAAGACAGAAAACTTAGAGATCCAGACAAACAAGTCACCCTCTACTTGTAGCTCTCACAGGTTTCACTGTATTGTATATGAGGCTAGTCTAAATGATTTTCATATGTTGTTATTATTGTTGCTAGGTGCTGATGAGTTGGTTCTGACTCATAGCAACCCTATGCACAACAAAACAAAACACTGCCCAATCCTACACCATCCTCACAATTGCTGGTACACTAGAGCCCATTCCTGCTGCCACTGTGTCAATACATATTATTGAGGGTCTTCCTCCTTTTTGCTGACCCTCCACTTTACCAAGCATGATGTCCTGCAGGGATTGGTGCCTATTGATAACATGTCTGAGATTGAGAGACAAAATATCACCATCCTCACTTCTAAGTCACATTCCATTTGTATTTTTTCCAATACAGATTTGTTTGCTCTTCTGAAAGTCCATGATACTTTTAATATGCTTCTCCAACATTATGACCCAAATGACTCAACTGTTCTATGGTCTTCCTTTTTCATTGTCCAACTTTCATATACATAGGAGGTAATTGGAAATACCATGGCTTGCATCAGACATACCTTAGCTCTCAAATTGATTTTTGTTCTTGAACACTTTAAAGAGGACTCTTGCAGTAGTTTTGCCCAATGCAATACATCATTTGATTTCTTGACTCGTGCTTCCATGAATGGTGATTGTAGATCCAAGCAGTCTTTGACAACTTAATCTTTCCACACTTATCATGATGTTATTTATTGACCCAATTGTGAGGATTTTTGTTTTCTTTACATTGAGGTACATTTCATATAGAAGACTGTATTCTTTGATCTTCACCAGTGAATATTTTAAGTCCCCTTTGCTACCAGCAAGCAAGGTTATATCATTTATGTATCACAAGTTGTTAATGAATTATCTTTCAATCCTGATGCCATGTTCTTCTTCATATAGCCCAGCTTCTCAGATTATTTGCTCAGCATGCAGATTAAATGAGTCTGGTGAAATGATACAACAACTTTCTTGATTTTTAAAACACTCAGTATCCACTTGTTCTGTTCAAACAACCTCTTCTTAGTCTAAGTACAGGTTCCTCATGAGCAAAATTCTTTACAATGTTATCTATAGTTTGTTCTAAGCCACACAGTCAACTGTCTTTGCATAGTTAATAAAGCACAGGTAAATATCTTTCTGGTATTCCATGCTTTCAGCCGAGATCCATTTGAAGTCATCAGTAATCTGATCCTAGCTTGATTTTTGGCAATTTTCTGTTCATTTACTATTTTTTAATTACCTTTAGCAAAATTTTACTTGCAGGTGATATTAGTAATATTGTTTGATGATTTCCACATTTCATTCATTGGGTCATCTCTCTTTGGAATGGGCAATAATATGGATCTCTTCCAATTGGTTGGCCAGATAGCTGCCTTTCAAATTTCTTAGTATAGAACAGTAAGTGTCTCCAGGGCTGCATCAGTTTGTTGAAATATTTCAATGAGTGTTCTATAAATTCCTGGAAGCTTCTTTTTCATCAATGTCTTCCATGAAGCTTGGAATTCTTCCTTCAGTACCATCAGTTCTTGATCGTACACTACCTCTTGTAATAGTTGAACACTGGTCAATTCTTTATGGTATGGTGACTCTTTGTATTCATTCCATCTTCTTTTGATGCTTCCTGAATCATACAATATTTTCCAGTGTTGTTTAAAATGTTGTTGCTAAGGGTCATCAACTCAGTTCTGATTTATAGAGACCATATATAACATGGGTCCTAACCGCTTCACTTTCAGTTGGCAGCATCACTAGGACTCCTTTAATGCATATTACTATATCAAGGATGGCACAGTGGGCTATGCATTGGACTGCTAACCACAAGACCAGCTGTTCAAACCACCAGACACTCCAAAGGAGAAAGATGAAGCTGTGTGCTCTGGTAAATATTTAAAGTCTTGGAAACCCTATGGAACTGTTCAAACCCACCTCAGAAACCTATACAGAGTCATTATGAGTTGGAATGGACTCAACAGCACTTATCAATAACAACAATAGGGTTGCTATGAGTTGGAATTGATAGAACAGCAGTGGGTGAGTTGCTACTATATTATCTTCCTCTTTTCCTTTGGAGAGTGATGGGTGTGGCATTTAATTTACTGTCGTTGCTGCTCTTTACTAGCATGGTAACGTTCAAGAATCAAGTGTGGACTTGATTAAAAGAAATTTAAAAAGACACCTTCTGCCTGCTTTGGTTCAAGACCATTCACAAAAGAAAATTAATAAATTAAAACCTCTAAATAGCCCAGTCCAACTTTATCATTTCTGCATTGTGATTTTTGGCTACAGGTCCAGCTTATCATTTAAAATTTTACTTTACCTTGCTGATCCTAACCAAGTATATAGAATTTCAATGGGGAGTCTCATGAATAAAGCTGAGGGCCAACTTCAAATATTCTGAGTTTCAGTAATACCCAAGCATTCACAGTATCATTTTAATTTCACTTCCAAAGAAAATCAAAGGGATGAAGGATCGACTTTAGGAGTCCATGCACACCATGATATTGAGCCATATTTTTGTGAATATATGAACTTTTTTGAGAAGAGGGATTTTTTGCTTTTCATCAGTATCTATTAGATATCTATGATCCCAGAAGTTCTAAATATACTGAATTAAAATACAAGTAGAATCAACATATTTAGAAAACAAAATGATCATTCAAATGTCTTGGTACTAACAGAGCTAGTATATTCAAGGAGTTTTCTGGGGTTTTTTTTCCCTTTAAAAAAGAAGCACCAGCAGTTTGTATCACTAAGCCCATAAAATTCAACTTCCTGGAACCCAAACTCTATCACATGTAAGATAAGCACTAGAATATTAGCTGCAAGGTTGGTGGTTCAAACTCACCAGCTGCCTCTCAGAAAACCTCTACAGGGTTGCTATGAGTTGGACCAATTGGGCAGCACAGAACCACAGCAACAATAGTTCACATAAGTAGTATTCTTCTTTGACTAGATGTCTTATCAGAGATGGGACATTCAGGGAAATTTTTCCAATCAGTTCCCACAACTTGGATCCTGCTTACCTCGTTTCTTGTTACGTAGATAGACGTTGAGCACCACGATTATAACTACTGAAATCCCGAAAATACCCAGACTTATTACCAAAGGAGAATTTATGCGGCAGAAACTACCTGAAGAAAAAGAAAGATAATAACTTTAGAGTTACTGGTGTGGGAGTGCTTTGAACTGGGGAGAGCTATGCCAAGAAAGCATGCACTATATTCTGATTCCATTTCTCTGTGTTTACTTAGCATAGACTAAGGCTTAGGCCTCAAGGATCAGGAGGTGACTGGTCAAAGCAGTATATATTGGATAGGACAGCTTTTGGACTGAGGCTTAAGTAACCTGTAGGAAAGCAACTCCTTTTACTTTTCCCCACCAAGTCCATCTATCAGTGAAGCTCACTGGAGAACACAAGATGGTTCTAAAGAGATTGGACGATTGCTCTGGGG